ATTTGCCTACCAATCCAGATGTTTGACTTTCGAGCCTCTTCTTTGTATCCCAGGTGTTGAAATAGGAGCGGCGGGGCTGCGTCCCCAGCACCCCCGCCGCCTGCATGGCTAGCTTTAGCTTATGCCCCGAAATAATTACACGGAAACTGTATTCTTTTAAACACGGCTTGACCCATTATATCTAGCCTTTTCTCGGCTAACTCTCGCACCTGGACTAGCCCATTTCTAATAATGTATGTAGCCCACGAGCTGGCTTACCAGGAATGATCTTAACCTGCATCTGTCTGGAGTGGGAGAACCATGGCGACTCCCTGACTCAGCTTCTTTCTCCCAGCATTCCGTTCTGTTTACTCCGCCTACCTAAGGGTTGGCCTATCAAATGGGCCTAGCAGTTTCTTTATTGCTTAATCAATGAAATCAACAGATTGATATATGACACTCCCACATCACCCAGGGCTATTTCTATTTCATATTCCACAATGTTAACATGTTATCCTATCAACTAGACTCTAAAGTCTTTGAGAATAGGAACTGAATTTGTTAAATTTCTATCTCTGGTATCAATAATGGACACAGATTAATTGATTAATGTTTATTAAAACAATATATGAAAGCAAAAGCTTGGTAATAGTTTGATCCTACTACCAAGACAATCTGGCTTTATCCATTTGTATATTATATTTAGTATCCAGTGTATTAGCATTCCATAAGAGGTACTATGGCTTTAAGCACAGAAAGCAGAGATGTTTGACAACCACTGTCATTCCAGTTCAGGGATCCAACACCTTCTTCCAGCTGCCAGAGGTACTGCATGCATGTGTTGCACAGGTATACATTCAAACAAAATGCCCATGCACATAAAATAGAATGGAAATAAATCTTCAGGGCTGGAGTAGAAGCCTCAGGGGCTGTTCTGCCGTAGGTCCTGGCTTCCATTCCCAGTACCTACTTCGCTGCTCACAACTATCTCTAATCCCAGTTCCAAGAGATCTGATCCCTTGTTCTGCCCAGCACAGACGCCAGGTATGAGTGTGATACATAGACACACACGCAGGGAAAACACACACACATACAAATGGGAACACAAAACAAATTTGAAAGAAACAGAGAAGGTTTAGGAATGTCGACTTCTCAAAGAGACAGAACATCCAAGTCCTTAGCGATCACTGTAAGGAAAACTCAATCGCCCAGGTCATTGTCACTTAGGGCTTTTAGGGTAGTAACATCTGATACTTCCTTAGTTTCATAATAATTTCTGGCAATTGGTTTTATTAAAGTTAGTAAAAAGTCTTTCTGAGAAATCTGGGGATTTCCACTTTGACAGTGAATACGAGAACTGTAGGTTTTAAGAGGTCAGTTCTTTTCATGCATAGTCTCTAGATTAAGTCACAAATACAGGAAGCCATATGACTTGAGTTTCTCAATTTGGCTAACCTCAAATCTTTACTGACTTCAATAGTCATGCATAGGGTTTTTCTAATAGGTAAAAAATTCATGTTCAGTTGTTGTTATCTACAGAAATCCTACGGTATGATGCTATCATTTATAAAGACCACACTGATTTATCCACCTATTTGTGTCCCATAAGAGGTTCTGTGTCTATATCTCATAAGAGGTACAGACTCCACACACAGCAAAGAAAGACCCCGGCTAGGCGTCTTCTCTTGGTAGTCTATAAGCAGTGAACCACGCTGGACAAGAGCCCAGGGCCAGGGAGGTGGCTCAGGGGGTAAAGGGCTCACCACCAACACTGAAAACCAAGTTCAATCCCAGAGACCACGTGGAAGAGAGAGCAAAATGATTCCCACAAATGTTCCATGTGTGCTCAGGTACAAATGCACGCACGCATGTGTGTGTGTGTGTGTGTGTGTGTGTGTGTGAGAGAGAGAGAGAGAGAGAGAGAGAGAGAGAGAGAGAGAGAGATGCTCTTAAAAAAAACTTGAAGAGGGCTGAGAAAACAATAAGAACATCAGGCCGTAACTGCTTGCCTTCCATTTCCAAAATAAAATGCAATTTTGGAATGTGGGGGCTGCTGGAGACATGGTTCAGAGGGTAAGAGCACCTACTGCTCTTGAAAGGGGTCAGAGTTCGGTCCCTACCACCCACACTGGGAAGCTTATAGCTCAGGGTCGACACTGCCCACAGTGTTCGGGGCCCTTCCCCATCGATGAAACTGCCCTGCAGACGTGCTCACAAGCCGACCCGATGTTTCAAAGCATTTTCAACGGAGGTCCCTCTTCCCAGGCGACTCTCGTCTCTGTCTAGTAGACAAAAAGCAATGGGCACACACGGGCAATCTGTAGCCTTTGGAGCGATCGCTATAATGAAGCAGCAATGTAGGTTATTCTCTGAATTCTGTGAGCAGCTGAAGCAAGTGAACTGAACCTGGGGAGATGGCGTTGCGCGAACCGTGAGAACTCCGGTTTGTACCCTGCCCGTACACTGAGAAACCTGAGGGTTTGACTGACATCTAAATAGAGAGCCCAGTGTTGGGATCAGTCACTGTGTGGGTGTCAGAATTTAACTGGAGTGGACACCCGGATGTTGCCCGGATGTTGCAGAACTTACGCTGCAGGAGTTTAGCACAGGTTTTGAGGTCACACGTTTTCTTTGTTTAGTACTGTGTGAGGGAAAACGGGATGTTTGCTTGTTTAGACAAGTTCTAATTGTATAGGCCAGAACTGCCTTCAGTGTTGTGCCAGAAACCAATTTTCTGTTCCAAATTGGTACCTCTGGTATGTTAACGGTGATCGCCTGTGCCGCGGGTGTCATGTTAAATTTGGCCAGCAGAGGGCAATAAAGGCACATTGCAGGAACAGGGCAGCCGCTTCCTCGTGATTATATGGCTTTTGCTTCTTCCTTCAGCTGCGTGGTGAGTCGGTGTGCAAGCCTGTGAGAACGGCAGTGGTGATTTGTCCCAACCACAGATGCCAGAAAACATCTTCTCGCGACCTTGCCATCATGGAACGGGTTTGCTGACCTCCCCTGCCAGCCTTCCCCTTGTCCCAGGTGCCCCAGGCCTGAAGCAGCACTCCATGAAGAATGGAGAAGCTGTACTCCATACCAGTCTCTGCGAGCTACAATACAGGGAAATCTATAAATCTATAAATGCTTACAGGGAAATCTATACTTTGGGGTTTATAAGAACCAACGCAGGAGGCCCCGCGTTCAGTCCTCCTGGCGCCACAAAACAAAAATACTAGGCAAAGAGGTGACCAGAGTATCAAGTTTGAGAATCAGAGTCAAGAACGTCAGAACAAACAGACGAAAAGAATGGAACTTACAAAGGCAAACGGAAAAGTCACGTAGCTCGTAGCTTTACTTCTCCTGCATGTCCTGCTTCCTCTCGGCCCTCTCTGGTCTCTCCTAGATTCATCTCGTTTTACACTGCTCAGAAGTCCCGCCTAACCTCTTCCCGTCCAGCTGTTGGCCATTCAACTCTATTAATCCAACCAAAAGGTGCCTTGCCATAGACACATCTTCACAGCATACAAAAAGATTATTTCACAACGCAGGCATCAAGTAGTATGTGTGCATTTATACACACATATATGTACACATACATACCTATATACACATACACACATATATGTATGTATGCATAGTGAATGGGGCTGGAGAGATGGCTCAGCACTGCTTTCTCTTCCAGAGGTCCCGAGTTCAATTCCCAACAACCACGTGGTGGCTCACAACCATCTGTAATGAGATCTGGTGCCCTCTTGAGGAAGAGACCCGGTCAGTCATCCTTGTCAACTTAGACCATGGACAAGTTCAACAGATCCGCCATACACGGGCTGCCCATGCGTGCTTCAGCATTTTTCATTTCATATATAGTAAATGAGCAAAGTTCAAATTATTAGCCCGCAAGTTTTCTCAAACAATATGATGGTGTCTAAGGGGGCAGGGTTGGGGCTCCTTATAGCACCTTCACTAAGTGCCCTGTGAAACTCATGGTTTCCTAGTTAAGTACAGAAAAGTATTTTATTGTTTGGTTCAGTCCATTTCTTTTTGGTCCTGGGAATGAACCCAGGTCCTCCTCCATGTGAGGCAATCACTCTGCTACCGAGTGATATCCCGGTTCAGATAAAGTCGTGTGTACACAGATATTCATGGGGTATCGTTCCCATGAGTGAGTTATAGTTCCCATGAGTTTTTATAGTTTCCATAAAAAGCAGCACCTGTGGTAGAGATTCCACAAAACCAAAATTGCAGGCCTTTGTGTTCACGGGCAGTCACGATCATTGCAGACCAGAGCCAAATTATCTTGGGATGCTTTTGGTTCTTTTGAAAGCCTCTCTCTCTCTGCAAACCAATAACCTTGTGACTATACAACTTTTCAGTTGTATTTGAGGGAATGACCCAGGAGGGTCAGGTGCTTGCTTCAAAGCCTGACTACCTGGGTTCGATTTCTTGAAGCTATAGAGTAGAAGGACAGAAACAACTGACCCTTACCCCACGCACACAGAGGAGTACACACACACACACACACACACAACGAAATATAGTTAAAAATAAAAATAAAATATTCATAACAAATCACCTATCCAAAGCTAAGGCATCAGATAGTATTTAAACCCGTTAGAATTTTCCCTGCTCTGCGGCAGCCAGTCTAACCTCAAAATGTATTTGGCAAATGCCTTGATTAGTGACTTTCGTTTTTAATAACTAACCAAACCTCGTGTAAGAACACACAGAGTAGATTGTCATTTGGGGGCAAGCTGAATGTGTTCCCTAACCACGGCCACTCACATTTGTCTCAAGTCTAAACTTTAGATAGAAGCTGTGCTTTTTGACCCGGTGGAACTGTCAAGCAGGGTTCTTCAGGAGACAGTCCCGGTCGGTCACCTGACAGACTGAGTGGGTCCCACCAAGCTTGCCTGCCAGGGCCCCAAGACAGAGCCCGCCGCGCACGCGCAGACGCCAGGGCCTGCCCTTGCCCCCTCCGCCCACCAGGTGGCGATGGCGATCCGCCGCCGCCGCCGCAATCGCCGCCGCCTCTCGGAGGCCAACCCGGGCGGCGCTCGCCGCCTTGCGGGCCTCGGGTCCGCCTCCGCCGCGCCGAGGGCGTGGGCTCCGGGCTCCCGGAAGCGGCGGCCACGGCGTGGAGCCCAGCGGGCTGTCGGTCGCCGGAGCGACCATGCGCGGCGCCCCGGGGGCTGCGAGCCAAGCGCGCCGGTGAATGGCGGCTCGCTGAGACGGCGGCGGCCAGGCGCGGGCTCCTGCCGGCGTAGGGTGGCGGGGCCGGGGTGATGCTGCTCAAGCTCCTGCAGAGACAGACCTATACCTGCCTCTCCCACAGGTATGGGCTCTACGTCTGCTTCGTGGGCGTCGTTGTCACCATCGTCTCGGCTTTCCAGTTTGGAGAGGTGAGTCGCGGAGCCCGAGCCCCGCAGCCGCGTGCGCAGCCCTTTTCCCCGGCCAAGCCCCGCGCGTTGCAGGCGTTCCCCCCACCCCCCTTCCTGCCTCCCCCATCCTCGCTGCAGCCTGGGGACCAGCATGCAGCCCACCCGCCCCGGCCGCCGGCAGCATCTCCTCCCAGGCTCGGCTGCGGCAGCTGCACTAGGTCTCCGGGCTTCCCGTGCTCCAGGGTGCCAGTTCCCTTCCTTCCCCGGGCTGTCCCCAAGAGCCCTCCAGTCATTTGACTTCGGCCTGCGAGCCTTGCGCTGGTGAAACTCCCTTCCAGGATGTGCAGTTTGTATTTTTTTTTTTTTCTCTGTCGCGATCCTTCAAGCCTTGGTCCCCCTTCAGACCCAGTCCTCCGGTGCCACCCTATTAATCTTTCACCTTTGGCAAAACACCTTATCTTCCTCATCCGGTTTCTTCTGGATTTCAGACTTTAAGAGGCACGTGCAGTTTTGCTTGTGAATTTTGCAGCATGAAGGGAGATTTTTTTTTTCTCAAACCCCCACCCCCCCTTTTCATGTTGTGCTGTATTGAACAGCTGTGTGTCAGCGGGTGGAGGCCTTAACTAGTAAGACCGCTCACGCTGTTGGGAGGCACCAAGTACTTATCTAGATCAGCTGGGAGTAGGGTCCTCTGTCAGGTGACTAAAATTGCCGACCTTGGGCTCCCTCCTCTTGGGCGCCAGCACAGACTCTTGCGTCACAGGGCATAATAATACTTTTTAGATCAGGGCGCTAGTCTGTCTTGGGCCGAGACCTGCGCTAAGTTTACGTGCCGTAGAGCAGTTTGGTTAGATTGTAAACTATTCAAAGGGCACAGGCAACCGGTTTGGGAGGTGGGAAGCACCAGGGTAAGAGGATTTTGTGCTCCTTTGGAGTCATACCTAGGACGTCTTTGGACTGAAAATAGACATTCCTCTTTGTTTTAAATTTCACAGTAATTTCACTCTTGGCAGCCTGGTGTGGTACTCCATCTTCGGTGTGCAAAGGGTGATGAGAAATAAATGGGTGAGCACGTGGGTGTGATTCAACAAAACACTGCTTCTGGAAACAGGAAGAAAAGTTGTGTTTGCGAATGGCCTTGAAATGTGTCTCCCAGTTTTACGCATTCGTTTGTATTTTAGTAAGAGGTTTCAAGGGTTCTGAAATGATCAGAGTGGTTTTGTTAAACGCCGCGATGCACGTGCGTGCCGTCCGCACCCACCCTGGACTGTAAGGTCTGTAGAGGAGGTGGTTATCTGTTTAATTGCGGTGACTCTAGCAGAAGCCCAGTGCCAGGCACCGCCACTGTCTGCAGACTGAGCACGTGTTTAGTGACTGGCTGAATTATATGCAATGTGGCTAGGTGTGTTTTTAGTGGTTACAGGAAAAGAATAGTCTTACTGGTGGGAATGCGAACATCCCAGGCTTGTAAGTGTGGGGTGTTTTCTTAATATTGCACTCCCTCCTACTCTGTCTTTGTTTCATCGTTAGTGTCTTACTGCTTTGGGGCGACTTTGTTTTTAAAATAGTCTCAACTAAATTGCTCCGGCTAGCCAGAAGTTTGCAGTTTTCTTGACTTAGCCCTCCCGAATGCTGAGGTCACTGGGTTATGTTTTTAACCTGGTTAATTTTGAGTGAGCGGTTTATTAACCATAGTGTAAAATACATTTGTTACAACCTTGAAGTCCCCATAAATTTTCGTTTTATTTTATTTTGAGATAATGTCTCACCATGTAGCCCGTGGCTGGCCTGGAGCTCCCTATGTAGACCAGGCTGGCCTTGCACTCACAGAGATCCACCTGCCCCTGTGTCCGGAGGTTAAAGGTGTATGCCACAATGCCTGGCTTGTGGGCACAGACCTTAAAGTGTAGGTTAAGTAAGAGAAATGAGGCGTGTCAGAAGGTCACACACAGACTGCTGGTCCGTGCTTTGCTCACACAGAGCAGTGGAGAGGCTGGAGGGCTGGGTAGATGGCATCTGGATTTGGCTGATGGTTCCAGCTTTAATCATGATAATAGCGAACGTAGTCTTTACTAGGCACCCTCTTAACTGCTTTGCATACTAATTTAGTCTCCACAGTATCACCTGATATGGACAGTATTATTTTACCCACCTTACAGGTTACACAGTTGAGGTATTTGCAGAAGTTAACATAGCGAATTCATGGCAGACATTTGTGTCAAACTTAGACAGTTGGTGCCGGGTGGTGGTGGCACATGCCTTTAATCCCAGCACTTGGGAGGCAGACGCTAGTTCCGGGACAGGCTCCAAAGCTACAGAGAAAGCCTGAAGTTTTCATTCGTTTATGTTATGTGTGTACATGTGGGGCACACGTGTGTCACCTGTACACGTGTGCATGCGGTTCTCTCTCCACTTCGTGGTTCCCAGGGATCAAACTCAGGGTGTCAGGTTTGGCAGCCAGTGCCCTTATCCATCCCCTAAGACATCTCATTAAGGTCGCCTCCTTTCCTTCCGCTGTTGGGGACTGAGCCTGTGACCTGCTGCATCGGAGGCAAGCGAACTTCACCCCCAGTCTCGATGGCTTCTTGGTTTCTCAAGCAGCCCACACTTATCTGATCTGGGAAAAGAAATCTAACCTCTCTGTTTCCTCCTTCAAAATACAGATGAGAGAATATCTTATCAGGGTCGCCAGTGGGAATTAAATGTGTGAAGCCCATCATTCTGTTGATAGCACATGACATTACTGATTAGCTAATGTCACTCAATGTTATCAATTATTTTGCCTTAGTCTCTGAAATATTATTTTGAGACAGTACTTTGATTATATATGTAGCAACCACTTGTTAACTAGTTATAACGTATATAAGGGTTAAAAACATCGTTAAATTACGAGTTCATTATTCCCCCTCTAGTGTTAGAGGCAATGTGGGTATTTTTAAAAAAAAAAAATTGTGTGTGTGTGAGTGTGTGAAGATCCCCTGGAGCTGGAGTTCCAGGTGGTGTGAGCAGCTCAGTATAAGTGCTGGGGTCCAAACTCCAGTCTACTAGAGGAGCCCTACACTCTTGAACTGCTGAGACAGCTCTCCAGCCTCTGCCCCCACCCTGTGTGTTTGAGACAAGATCACATTGTTAGCCTCCAACTCCTTGCGTACCTGAGGCTCCCCCCCCCCACAGGGTTTCTCTGTGGCTCTTGAGCCTGTCCTGGAACTAGTTCTTGTAGACCAGGCTGGTCTTGAACTCACTGAGATCCACCTGCCTCTGCCTCCCAAGTGCTGGCCCTCCCCTGTGCTGGGGTTAAAGGCAGGTGCCACCACCGCCCAGATGACCTTGAACTGCTTTCTGTCCTGTGGCTTCAACCACCCTAGTGCTGGGATTATAGTTGTGCAACACCATACCCAGTACATCTAAACCAGGGCTTTATGCCTGTTGGGCAAACACTGTAATGAGTAAGCTGTCTCCCCAACCCTGGGCTGTTGTATTTTAATAAGCTGTTTGAACACTGGTTCAGATTTTAAGGAAAAATATAGTCAAAGGAGGGATCTACTAAGTAACTTGTTTTCCCCTATAAGTCTAGCCAAGTACTTCCGGAAAACCCTTGGGAATTCTGATAAAATAGAAACACAACTGGATCCAAAGGTGGCAGTTCAGAGGGTGGGCCCTCCTAGCGGAGGTCCTGGTCTGAATGAAATGACAGGACGTCACCGCGGTCTGCTGAAGAGGTTATCATTGTCGCTGTGAAGGAGAGTGCATCCAGAGAGGCATCTGGAAGAGTCCAGAGCTGGGAGAGAAAGTGGTAGACTAAACAAGGTCGGTAGAGTGAACCTGTAAGCCCAGCATTTAGCATTTTGTCCCAAGTCTCCTTGGGACTGGGCCAGTAGCTGAGGGGAGCGGGGGAAGAGCTTGTTTGTTGTAAGTCACGTGGGTCTGAGCTAAGTTCCTTCTAAGTCTGAGCACTAGACTGTCCTTAAGAATCCTTTAAGGAAGCCGGGCGGTGGTGGCGCACGCCTTTAATCCCAGCACTCGGGAGGCAGAGACAGGCGGATCTCTGTGAGTTCGAGGCCAGCCTGGTCTACAAGAGCTAGTTCCAGGACAGGAACCAAAAGCTACGGAGAAACCCTGTCTCGAAAAATCCAAAAAAAAAAAAAAAAAAAAAAAAAAAAAAAAGAATCCTTTAAGGAATCTAGATCAGCTGTGCCCTCGGTTCAGAAATGTTTTCGTGTGCTCTGTATGATAGAACACGACTGTGATATTGGCGCCCAGGAGACAGGCAGGAGGGCTGAGCGTTAGAGGATAGCCTGGGCTACATACATGGTGAGACTTTGACTTGAAGGAAAGGGCAGACTTCTGGCTTTAGCGTTGGTGTTTGTTCTTATTACAGTCGCTGTTAGGGGTCTTAAGCCGTGCTCTTGAGGTGAGGTTGTATTCCAGGCCCGTCCTTTCCTTAATAGACAAAGTATACACCCCTTCCTGAACCTTCCACAACTACCCTGATCTTGCCGTCAAATACCCGCACTCTCTACGGTGAAGAGCATGAATATTTATACTCCACAAGGAAAATTCTGCCTATAAATAAATAGCCTCTCGCCAGTTAGTTAGGTCAGGTTCTTACCACCAAGTGAGTTCAAGAGAGGTCAGTATGCCACCAAGCAAGGGACTAAAGAAAAACGGGTGTTTGTAGATCACTGGGACGTGGGTGTTTGTGTGTGAGCCTTGTCTTACTTGGGACTATATCACTTTCTTGGAACAAAACAAAATTAACTCCCATAAGAAAGTCAGTCGTCTCAGTTGAAGCCTGTCTGCTCCTACCGACAAGAATGCCCCCCTCACCTCCCTGTTTAGGGTCATGTTTTTGAATTAATAAAAAGTACTCCTTTTCCATGGCAAAGAGGATTGAAAACCGGGTTCAGCTCAAGTTGCCTCTGTGACTGGTTTCTTAACTGGTCCAGTTTCAGGAAAGGAGTGTGTGTGGCCATGAGGTGTCCTGATTAAACTGTGGGTTTCTAGTGTGTTCTTGGTCAGAG